GAGAGGGGAGCAGTGTGTCCTGAGGCTGTGTGGGGCAGCAGGCCCTGGCCTGCAAAACCATTCTTTCCTCCTAGGCTTCAGGGCCTATAATGGGAGGGACTGCCTTCGAGATATCTGGAATGTTTTGGAGACCTTTTTCCCGTTGCCTTGGCTATGAGCCTTTGGTTCTCTTTTTAGTTACGCGAATATCTTAAGTAAATGGTTGTTCCACAGCCTGCTTGAATTCCTCTCACCAGAAACACTATTCTTTTTGCCACATGGCTGGGCTGCCAATTTTCTGAACTTTTATGCTCTGCTTTCCTTTTAAATATAAATTCCAGCTTTACAACATTTCTTTGCTCCCATATATGGTTGTAGGTTGTTAGAAGCAGCCAGGAGACATCTTAAATGCTTTGCTGATTAGAAATTTCTTCCTTCAGGTACCCTAGGCCATCACTCTCAAGTTTAAGCTTCCACAGAGCCTTAGGGCATGAACAGAATGCAGCCACGCTCTTTGCTGTGGCATAACAAGAGTGAGCTTTGCTCCAGTTCCCAGTAAGTTCATTTCCATCTGAGACTTCCTCAGCCTAGACTTCACTGTCCTTATCACTATCACTGTTTTTGGTCACAGCCATTTAACTGGTCTCTAAGAAGTTCCAAACTTTCCCTCATCTTCCTGTCTTCTTCTGAGCCCTCCAAACTCTTCCAACTTCTGCTGGTTACTCAGGTCCAAAGCCACTTCCACATTTTTAGGTATCTTTATAGCAATGCCTCACTTCTTGGTACCAATTTTCTGTATTAGGCCGTTCATGAATTGCTATGTCAGTGAAAGAGTCAAAGTCTGTAAAATATTTGAAGAGATTTATTCTGAGTCAAATACGAGTGATCAATGGCCCGAGGCACAGTCTTGAGGTCCTGAGAACGTGTGCCTAATGGTCAGGCTGCAGCTTGCATTTTTACAGTTTAGGGAGATGTAAGACATCAATCAATACATGTAATATATACATTGCTTAGGTCCCGAAAGGTGGGACAATTCAGAGTGGGGGCTTCCAGGGCATAGGTGGATTCAATAATTTTCTAAATTGCAATTGGTTGAAAGTGTTAAGTTATTGTCTGAAGACCTAGACTCAATAGAAGGAATGTCTGGGTTAAGATAAGGGATCGTGGAGACCAAGGTCCCCACTATACATAAGAAGCCTCCAGGTGGCAGGCTTCCGAGAGAATAGATTGTAAATATCTATTAGACTTTTCAAAAATGCCAGAGTCTTAGTGGCCTACAAAGGGAAGGGAATCTTCTGCAGAATGTAGATTTTCCCTGTAAGAGACAGCTTCGCAGGCCTATGTCACGATACAGTAAAGAAACATAGTTGGAGTTAACATATTTTAATTCCCTTCTTTATCTGTCATGTGATGTTATACCAGAGTTAGGTTGGAAAGTAAGCCACGTTATATAGGGTTAAACAAAACCCCTCGGAGGAGACTTTATGGTTTTTAGGATGTGAATCCTTAAGCCCCTTGAATAGCAATTTGGGCAGGAGAAGAAAAAAGTCAGTTTAGTTATAACAAAATACCTGAGACTGGGTGATTTACAAAGAAAAGAGATTTAATTGACTCACGGCTCTGCGGGCTGTACAAGTGAGGACTAAACTCTGATTTTTCATCTTGCCCAAATTCCTACCTAAGGGGCCTAGGGAGTCATGTCCTACAAACCACAAATTATCATTAGACGGGTTTTATTTGACCCTATATATCATGACTTACTTTTCTATCTGACTCTGGCATAACATTATGAGATAAGGAAAAAATATTCAACCCCAAAATATATTTCCTTGCCATACCTTGAAATTGCCCTGCAAAGTCTCTTGTGGGAAAAATCCATATTCTCTAGAGAATCCCGTTTCCCCTTTGTTTTCCTTCATTCCTTCCCAGATCCAGGAGATAATCAAGTAAGAGCCAGGTACCCTTTTAAGTCCGATAAGAAAAATTTTACAGCCTGCTCTCTCTGAAGTCTGCAGCGAGCTTCCTATGCTCAATAAAACGTGGTCTCCACAATCCTTTATCTTAACCTGAACATTCCTTTCTATCGATCTCAGATCTTTAGATAAACTCAACCAATTGTCAACTAGAAAATGTTTAAATTTACCTATAGCCTGGAAGCCCCAGCTTTTGAGTTGTCCCGCCTTTCTGAATGAAACCAATGTATTTCTTAAGTGTATTTAATGAAACCAATGTATTTCTTAAGTGTATTTGATTGCTGTCTCATGCCTCCCTAAAATACATAAAACCAAGCTGTGCCCCGACCACGTTGGGCACATATTCTCAGGACCGCCTGAGGGCTGTGTCATGTGCCATAGTCCCTCATATTTGGCTCAAAATAAATCTCTTAAATATTTTACAGAGTTTGATTCTTTTGTTGACACAAGCATGGCACCAACAAATGCTTGGCTTCTGGTGAGGGCCTCGGGAACCTTACAATCATGGCGGAAGGCCAAGGAAACAGGCGTGTCATATGGCAAAAACAGGAGCAAGGGGTGGGGGAGGTACCACACACTTTGAAATGACCAGATCTTGTGAGAACTCACCACGATGAGGATGGCATCATGCCATGAGGGATCTGCCCCCATGACCCATACACCTCCCTGTAGGCCCTACCTCCAACACTGGGGATTACATCTCAACATGGGATTTGGAGGGGACATCCAAACTTTATCATTGAGGTTCTATGGGTTTATGGTTTTCATCAAATTTGGAAAATTTTCAGCCATTATTTCTTCAAATATTCCCCTCATCCCAAACGTTGTGGACTCTGTTTACTTGTATGTCAGATCATGTGAAGTTTCCCGCAGCTCACTGATACTCTTTCATGTTTATTAATGTATTTTTTCTCTCTCTCATTTGTATATATTTTCTATTGCTTTATCTTTAAATTTACCAGTCTTTTCCTCAGCAACATCTAATATGTGGTTAATCCTACTAAATGTTTTTTGAAATGGTATCTAATTCTAGTTTTCATCTCCAGAAATTAGGTTTGGGACTTTTAAATATCTTCTATGCCTCAACTTTTGAATGTATGGAAAAACTTTTAATAATGGTTTGAATGTTCTTGTCTAGTAATTCTAACATTTGGATCAGTTTTAGTTTGGTTTCAAGTCTATCTGGATGACTTGTAGGCATTGCATTTCTCTATTCCTTATTTTTCTTTGTTTTTGACTAAATGGTCTTGTCTCCTTGAATCCCTGGTTATTTTTTAGATTGCTGGACTTTATATATGAAAAAAAAGTATAGCTGATTTGATACTCTGGATTATCTTACATTTTTCCAGATCAAATTTATGTTAGCTTTTGGTCACTGGTCATGTTTAGGGCACTGGCAGTCCTGGATTACCCTGAACTAGTCAGGTACTAAGACAATTCGTAGCTGGGTGTCAGTTCTTATGAGGGTTGTTTTGTTGACAGTTATCTTTACTCCTTGGATTTTGTCTTTTTTGGGGTTCCCATTCTAAGCCTAGGGGGTTTAGCAGCATGCCCATCCCTCTCACCTTAGTAGATTGTATTCTAGGCAGACATTTACTAAAATCCATTCATATTTCTCTACAGGAAAAAATGTAGAGTTCTCAACATTAAGGCAGTCAGCTGTCTCTCAAAATTACTTTGTAAGGTGACAGAAATCTTTGCCCATCTCCCAATATGATAGTTCTGTTTGTGTCCCTGAAGATGACTCATTTGATTATACCGTTTTTGTGCCCTTAGCCCCTTGAATCTCAGCTCCTCAACTGCCTTGGGGGAATTGTCAGAAGACTCTCTTTATAGTAGATATCTTTATGGGACAAGTGACCCCAGATGCTGGGGTCACTTCCCTCATTTTTTTTCTTCCCTGTAATCTTGTTATCATAATTCTTCATAACTTGGTTGCTTTCTGATGCCTTCAAAATGTGTGTCTCTGTGTGTGTATATGTGTGTGTGTGTGTGTGTATATATATATTTAATTTTGTCCAGTTTTTCTTGTAATTCTCATCAGCAGGGTTGGTATTGATGAGGTGATGTATCCTGCCTTTACTAGAAGTGGAATTCTCCAGCGATATCTCTCATATCAAGCTGCCTGTTGTCTATTTAACATCACCTTATAAGCATCTCAACTTACTATGGACCAAATGGACCATGATCTACCCTAGTCCCATCCCATTTTCCCTTTGTATTTTGTTCTTGAGGCATTGTTCACCCAGGATTTTAACCTCAAACCCTATCCCTTTGCTTTTGTTTTTCCCTCCATCCCTCCATATCCATTGGTCATGGAATCTTCAGTCATCATCTTCTCTCCATTTCCATTGTCACTATCTTAGTCCAGGTCTCTACTGGATTTCCCTTGAGTGTTTTCATGCATTCCCATCTGTCTCTCCAGCCCAGTGTACCCCCAACACTCGTCTGCTCCATACTTTTAGGAATGTTTTGTTCCTGGAAAACAAATCTAGTCACTGTATTATTCTGATTGTGCATTTTTTTGCTGGATTTTAATTTCCTAGAATGCTATCAACACTCCTTGTGTAGTTGCCAAGGTCCCCACACCTGGGCCTCACCTTTCTCCAGCCTCCTCTCACTCCTTTCCTTGTCTCAGCAGTTTCTTACCCCATGCCTTGTTTTCCCTGGGACCTCCTTGCTCCCCTCCTTTTGTCAACCCCTCATTCCTCTCCTTATTCTTCAGTTTTCAGCTCAGCTGTTACCTCTTCTGGCATGTAGTGGAGACATAGTCTATATTTGGTTAACTAACAAGTTATAAAGAAATGGAAGAACGAGGTAACCTGTATCTTTTTATTAGTGTGTGTCACAGTGAATAGCAGTGAAATGGTTGAAAGAATAATTTAGTAGTACATAGAGATTTTAACAAATGAATTAACAATGAATATGTAAAATGAATGTATTTGAAAAACTCAATCTTTTAATTTCTTAGGTTTGAGGTTATGTTGTTATACTCTTATTTTTAAATACTGTCTATAATCTGTGTTTTATTTTTGTTAATTTTCTCAGCTTCTAATCTTACGAGGACACCATCAGCCAATTACTGCTATAGCTTTTGGAAATAAAGTGAACCCACTTCTAATCTGCTCGGCATCGCTGGATTACATAATAATGTGGAACCTGGATGAATGTAGAGAGAAAGTACTTCAAGGTAAATGAAAATCTAAAACTTGTTTTTAAAAACCTACAAAAGGAATAACTCATCCTTCAGTATACTTGGTACCACCCAAGGGTGTTTCTCTTGGGTAGCACCAGTCCCTCAGGGGGATTTGGGATAATTTTGTATTCCCTTTACCTTGAAACCAGGCATGCAAGCAGGGTGCTTTATATGGGAAGGGCACCAGGCCATTCAGACTCTCTGACCTTTGCTGCGTGTTATGCTGATCTTACAGGCTCACTGGTTTTGATCTTATGTCCCTTTTTATTTTAAGAACTGTCAATTTTGTATCAACCTGAAAACATGTAGGAAAGTTGAAATATTCTTTTCTTGCACAGCAAGGTTTCTTGAGCACCTGTAATATTTCAGGCTGGAGACCAGTAGTGAATAGGAAGGGCTTGATCCCAAATCCTGTGGAAGTCACAGCTCAGAGTTTGAGAGAGACCCTGTGTAAGCCAGCGACCGAGTGGTTATGAATTGTGAGTGTGCAGTGGAGAAGGCAGATGAGGCCAGGGCAGCACGCACATACATGGGGGTACTTTGAGATACAGGATCTCAGGGAGGGGCATGTGGGCTGAGGGTGAGAAGGGATGGGATAGGCGACTGTGCTTTTGGCAGATGGACCCAAATGTGCCAAGGCCCTGGGAAGAGTGAGAACCTGCCTCTGTGCTTGGAGCGTGCTGATGTTAGGAGAGTCTCATCTGAGAAAGTTGAAAAGTTAGGTAGGGACCACATTAAGAAATTTGAGTTTTATGGAATTATATAGAGAAGTTAGAGGATTACGTTAAAACATAAATGCAAAGAGACTATAAACCTATGTATTCTATGTAGGGACATGAGCACGTATCTCTCTCTAGACTGGGTGGCTGTGTGACGTGAACATATGTGTCTCTCTAGGCTCTGGGTGGCTGTGGGACATGAGCACATGTCTCTCTGTAGACTTGGTGGCTGTGGGACATGTGCACATGTGTCTCTGCCAGGCTCTGGGTGGAGTATATCTGCATTTTGCTGGTGATAGGTCCGTGGTGCACACTAGGACCAGATGACCTTGCCCGCCGTTTTTTCCTTCACCTTTGTGGATTTGCATGACGGACTGTGCATCAGGCTGCAGCTGCTGCACTTGTTGTCCGGGTCGTGGGAACCTCCTGGCTGCTTGTGGGTGTCCTGCCATTGCTTAGTCCCTGGAGGCCTCGATTGGATAGGCTTCTACTCCCTTCCTTCCAACTGATGTTAGCTGAACCTGGACATGAGGGTGGACGTGGGGTTGGATGTGGGTGAGAAGCATCGAAACACGCAGTTTGATGTGTATGACCCTCACTGCGCGGGTGCCGCAGCCTCCAGAGGAAGGCGTCTTCCTGTTTTGATGTTGAGGGATTCTCTGCAGGGAAGTGCTGCATTCCCCAGGTTTTCAGAAGACTTCTCTATATCCAATATTTTTGATATTCTTAGAGAATCAAAATCACATCAAAGGCTCATTGGCATTCTCTCAGTAATTTTAGAATAGAGGGTTACATTCTCAGTATTTTTCTCAGATTAATGTAATGCTGAATGCATTTGGTGAACTGGCACTAACGGTGAAACTCACTCTAGGGCTGGTCCCTCGAGGGACTGTCATGGGCTCGCTTTTGGGAAAGGTGCTGTGTTTACAGTTGAGCCCGGATGATCATGTTGTTGCCATATGTGCTGGAAACAAAGTATTCACACTGGATATTGAGGTAAGATTGAAATTCACACCTGAATTTCATTTCACGGAAGGGTTTAGCTGATGGGGCCCCCCAGGTTCTAGGACCTTGCCCAGCTGTCTTTTCTTTTTTTCTGTACTCCTTTTTTTTAAAAGCTGTATCTTAAATTTAGTTTACTTTTATAAAATCATATCTTTATGTTGCAATTGGAAAACCACTGGTGTCAGATAGTAATATTTATATAAATATTAAAACTCCCTATGGAATATGGGTATCAGGCATGACTTTAGAGAAACATGTTCTACAAAACTTCTGTTTCTCAGATATTCCCTGATTGTAGGCATCCTTCCTAGCATAGCGCTTTTGTTTATATCTTTTATCAAAATATTCTTTTCATCAAGAATCAGACTTTCGCAGCCATTTCATCACCAGGGTTAGTTTAAGGAAACGTGTCACCTCTTCCTGCCTGTGTGATTTCAACCTCGGGTGTGACTGGAACAGTCAGCTGCCCCATTGCAATGTTGAAAGCAGTGTTAGCAATCAGGAAGTGGGAATCTAAGGGAACACGAAGGAAGACTCAGTTCCTCTGAATTGTTGCTCTGCCCAAGCCTGATTTTGGGGATGACCGCAGGCCTGGGGTCGTTTTTGTGGCTTTGATTTGCCAAGTCAACATGGCCAACAAAGCTGTTTGCCTGCGTAGCTTTTCCTATGATAGCCACTTAATAAACGTAGGCGAGGGAGGATGATAGGCATAGAATAGTAATTGGTTCTCATGGGCCTCATGTGTAATAGGCATTTTGGGAGAGAAGACATTTATGTCTTCGGACTATTTTTGGACTAATTATGAAATTAGGCTCATAAATTTAAAAAGTTTAATCATGAGTTAAGCCACAGAGAGATAGATGATGGGAAGTATCTAGGAGTTAGGTAAAGGGCTTTACCTAGTCTGTCTGTGAAAGCTTTCTGGATATGTTGGTTTTTCAGTTGTAAGTATGTCTGTTTTTTTTTGAGACGGAGTCTCGCTCTGTTGCCCAGGCTGGAGTGCAGTGGCTGGATCTCGGCTCACTGCAAGCTCCGCCTCCTGGGTTCATGCCATTCTCCTGCCTCAGCCTCCCGAGTAGCTGGGACTACAGGCGCCCGCCACCTCGCCTGGCTAGTTTTTTGTATTTTTTTAGTAGAGATGGGGTTTCACCGTGTTAGCCAGGATGGTCTTGATCTCCTGACCTCGTGATCTACCCGTCTCGGCCTCCCAAAGTGCTGGGATTACAGGCTTGAGCCACCGCGCCCGGCCAAGTTGTAAGTATTTCATGTTTTGTTGTAAACATCCTGTGATAGATAGATTAACATTAGGCCACCCCACCATTTATGACAAAACTACCATTAACGTGCAAAGATTTAACATTGTTGTGTCAGGAAAAGGAAAACCAAAGTGGATTAGGAAGAAGCGTAAAACTGTTAGTGTTTGAAGGAAGATACTGGGTCCCAGATGGAGAGAACAGTGAGCCTGGGGTCAGGTTGGAGCCACACCCCTGAATCGGGCACATAGCAGGTGAGTAAGCAGGTGCCTGCTACAGATGCGTGTGCAGCCCATGGGATGCTCCCCAGGCTTCCTCAGCAGCAGGCATGTCAATTGAAAGACGCTTCACTTGGGGAGAATGACTTTCAGACGTGGGGAATGGCTGTCACGTGAGTCCATGAAGAGCTCACATTCTTTTAACAGCATACTCAGCAAGTCAACAGTTTATGCTATTTGATTTGAAAGACTTCAAATGAGTACTGAGCACTTTCTGGTAAAAGGCACTTTTTAATCAACATAAAATGTCAAGAAGAAATAACTTAAATATTTTTCAGGCTATAATGTTATTCATATCATAGACAGTGGACTAGCTTTATTTTATAGAAATTGGAGAAAATGGAAATGTATATTTCATAACACTCAGTCTCATAACTCCCTATTCCTACACAGGTTATAGTCTTGCCTTTTATTTTTAACAATCTGATGGTAACTGGCATAATATACTCAGTATTCTAAGTTGTATTTGCTGATGACCGTATGTTATATTACTAAAGAAGGTCTTCCAGAGTTAAATGTCTATTTGTAAGTTAAGTCACCATATATACATGTTTATTTTTTCTGCATGTATGCTAAGGGGTATTTGTCTTATTTAAATGGAGTGCTGTAAAATTCAAGAACAGGACCCCAGCACTTGTGCCTGGAATCCCCTGGGGATATTCTCAGGACGATGACTGTGACCTTTAGGAACCCCCGACTCTCTGACTACTCCGTTCCTCAGTCATGCTGTTCAGGCCTGATTTCCATAGAAACACGAAGCCCTGTGCGTCTCCAGCTTGAGACGCTGACATTCTGGGGTGCTCTCTCGGCCGTGGGAGGTTTTAGGGACTTCAGGAGGAAAGGATAACTCATGAGCACCTGCTGCTGCGCCATCTTGTCTTGTTGTAGGAAGTCCCGGGTGGAGAACAGATGCTGAGGCATTGGGAACACAGAGCAGTAGGTTCTGAGTTACAGGCAGGGAGCCTCAGGGCGGATGCATGGGGCAGCCGGTGGGGAGACAGGATTCCTGAGGAGACGCCAGCTTCCTAATTTGCTCAGGGTCAGCTCTGGTTAGTGTCATCTTTTAACACTGCTGAGACTGTGCCTGTGGCCTGAGCTTTCCTCTTAGCTCAGACATCTGACTTTTCACCCTTGGTTTATATACAGAGAGTTCCAACTTGAAAAGAGGAATAATACGGGCTTTATTTTGTAACAGCTATTTTCTGTGACATACATAGAACATCCTGATGTTAATAACCACCACAAAGTTCCATCACTGACCTTCCTGCACACATTTCTCTCAGACTCAGGCTGTCCAGGCCGAGCTGCAGGGCCACCTGGGCCCAGTGACTGCGGTGGAGTTCTGTCCCTGGCAAGCAGGCACCCTCATCTCCGTGTCCGAGGACAGAGGCTTTAAGGTGAGGGATAGATGATGGACTGCGTGCCCACGTGGCACGCGCTATGGAAAGACCTGTGGTGAGAGTGGAGCTGTGCAGTGGCTTCGCGGCCACTGCCGCCTGAGTGATGTTTCTACCCCACTTCCGCAAGGCAACTGCTGTCCTGATTTCCATGGAAACACCAAGCCCGATGTTTTGCCAGGGTCGCTGACTGGGCTTGGATTCCTGACAGGACGGCTCTGCAGCCCTGGATTTCCCACAACTGCATCCAGGGCCTGGGAGAGCCCAAGCACAAGTTCTTCTCCACGGCATTTCCCAGGCCCAGAGCAGAAGAGCCAGTTCCAGGGTGGAGGGCTCAGTCAGCCCGAAATGAGGATCTGGAAGAAAATGAAATGCGAATTCAGTTTTTATCCAGCTGACACCAGTGTGTACCTGACAGTGTAGACCTGACCCGCGAGTGTGCACCTGACAGGGTGTAGACCTGATCTGCGAGTGTGCACCTGACAGGGTGTAGACCTGACCCGTGAGTGTGCACCTGACAGTGTAGACCTGACCCGTGAGTGTGCACCTGACAGGGTGTAG